CTGATACTTTCCGATTTACACACACTAATCCAATTTGTGAAACTGAATTGTTAACTTCAATAACAAACATACCATCTAGTTGCGATACTCGTATAATTCAAACAGAATATGAAATTTGGCATAAATTAAACAAACCAAATTCTTGGATATATGTTTTACCCAAACCAACAGATTTAACTTTAAGCTGTCAGACTAGTACGCCAATATCTATTGTTCTTTCAAACACAGGTATTTTTTCTACTTCGAATAATTGCAAAACTTACACCGGATCAACTATTTTGATATCTGTCTCAAATCCAAAAGAAAGTAATTTTCAGTCTATCATTCCAGATTTATCCCTTCCAGAAGTCTGTTGTGATGATATTAAGATAAATAATGAATCCAAATTACACCTTGTTCCCTTACAATTAAATAATCTCGATCGAGATGCATTAAATTTAGCAAGCCATAAACTAGATAATTTAGAGAAAATGACCTCAGAAACAAATATTAATTTTTCAGACACAATAAAAAATAGTTCTTATTTCACTTATGCAATCTTATTTTTGATAAAATGTATGTTACTTTATATTTTATACAGGATAATTAAATATTTTTACCGACGATTTCGTAGAAATCCGTCACATAGTTGTCAACAAATTACAAATTGTTTAACACTAAATATATGTCAAAGTAAACGAAAACATGTACATGAGACAGATTTAAGTATAGATTGTAAACATAATAAAGACAATAATTATAGTGAATCCAAAAAGTGTGAAGAGACTAGTTTCACAGAGACTACACCGATAAGACGAAGTGAAAGACTATCGAGACTAAAAGAAACTATTTAAATGTGTTAAAATAAAATAATAATGTATACAAATGTTTTATACCATTTAAATGAAAATTCATTTTACAATTATTTTCATTCTTACAAAAGGAGGTGTAATGTACCTACCTAGGGGAAGGTGGGGTAATGGCGACACCTTAAGCTTTAGATCGATATAACACATTACTGAAAAGTAAATATATAGATTTAAATAATGCATTATATTGCTGGACTATTTAGCTCATTATAGGTGTAATTAGAAATTTATATTCACATTTTCATAAGAGTTATTTCATACTAAAGAAAAGATTAGCAAGTGTCGGCATTCCCCACCATACTGGGGTAATGCCGACACTGTTGGTGGGTAATACCGACATAATATTGAAAACTAAGAAAATACTAAAATTATAACAGGAGACCTGCAGCAGGTTGAAAATAAACATTTTATTAAACTGAACTAGGAAAACATATTACAAAAAAATTAAAACAATTTTTATAAAAATCAAGAAAAAAAATTATTTTGCACAAAAGTCACAGACATAATTTTCTGGTGTATCATAACCGGTACATTCGGAATGAGCCCAATTAGCACATAAAACACAACGATACCATAGTTCGTTTGCCCCAAACTCTCCACAAATTACACATACTTCTTTATTGGAGTCACAGTAGACATCAAACAATGTGTCATCGTCGTCATCATCATCGCAGATGGTTTTAATATCAATATCTTCCAACGAAGAGCTGGAATCGAAATGAATGCGTCTTTTGTGCGTTTTCTTTACTCCTTTTAAACCCACATTTTTGAGAACTGATTTACCCTTAGTAACTCTTTTAGATGTTTTCTCTGGTCTGTTCTCTTGACCTCTTTTCCTATTCTGTTTTTCTTTTTTTATATTATTTGCTTGCTCTTTCTTTTTTATCTTTTCTTCTTTTCTTAGTTTGGCATCTTCAAGGATATGTTTTATAGGAGTAGATGTCATAATAATAGAGTGTTGTTTTTTATTGTCATTATCATTATTTGCCAGCTTTTGAGATGTTATTTCTGTTAATGGTAAAGGCGACAATTCTACTATGCTTGTTTGAAAACTAGTGGATGGCTGTGGATCTGTATTGACCTCCAAATTATTGAAGCTAGTAGATTCATCAGTACCAATTTGGTCAACTAATTGGTCAATTTCGTGGTCAACTTTTTCTTCAATAATGATGTGTTGGATAAGTTGAGATGGAGCAAAATCGTCTTCTGAAAACTTATTTGGCTGAAAAGGATAAATTCCAGTTGAGCTGAATCCTGATACAGCTTTTTCAATGGTGGCAATTTTCATGTAGGCTTTGTTAAATATTGACGCAATTTCATAAGGTGTGATTTTTTGGTGTAAATTATTTTTCATATAATAATCACATTCTCTGTTAAAACCATTTTTTAATGGGCTATAAAAAGCCACATCTAGAGGTTGTAGTCTGTGGGACGTGTGTGGCGGTATCGATATAACGTGAATATAGTTAGCCTTACAAAATTCATAATTGGTCAATGTAATATGACTACCATGGTTGTCCAGGACCAATAACAGAGGATCGTCTTCGGTAGGTTTCGCAATCTTTGCAAAATGTTGGAGCCATTCAAGAAAGAGTTTCTCATTAGACCAGCCATTGTCTGAACAACAATATATTGATCCTACAGGTCCATCTTTTTGCAAAAGGGGTGTCATACGTTTTCTGGGGAAAATAAACATTGGCGGTATGTAATTACCAGAAGCACTCATTGCACAGACGACAGTTACGTTCTTTCCTCTTTCCCAACTTGTCATGCTTCCAACCTGTTTTTGACCTTGTGGAGCAAGGATTTTTCCTGGCCGTTGTACAGATGATATGCCTGTTTCATCCATATTGTATATTCTACTTGCAGGAAATTTATATTTCGTTAAAACTGCATCAAGATTATTATAAAACAATTCAACTTCAATTTTATTAAAAGCACGTGCTCGATTTATGCTAGTAGCCTCGGGTTTTCTCAAGCTAATCTTGTGACGTTTTATAAAACCCCTTAACCAATCAATTCCTGCCATTTTGTTTTCCTTATTAAAACTATGTTTTACGGAATTTTTTTCAGCTAAGTCATAAGCTAACCGTCGTAGCTCAGTAATCGTAATACCATAAAATATGTTTGCTAACAAAAGCACATGTTCAGCAATTTGCTTTTCTTGTTCGACGGAAAATACTGTTTTACGTCCTAAAACAGGTTTCGTTGACTGTTTAGATTTGATTCTGTCTATCAAAGTTGTTCGAGGTATGTTAAACTCTTTCGATACACTTTTTACTGATTTGCCATTCTGAACCTCTTTCATTGCATTGATAAGACTTTCTTCACTCCATTTAGCCTTTTGGGTAGTTCGTGGCCCTGATCGCACCATCTGAAAATAACAGAAAATATGTCAGTATGAGAAATCTACATAGTTAAAATATATGTGTATAAAAATTGTTCAAGGGGCAATACCGACACTGTCGATATTGCCCCGCTCGTACTGACGGTATTACCCCACTGAAGGATTTGGCAAAAAAATATGTAATAGTTAAATAAATAATAAAGTTAGCTTTATTTAATTTATGCCACAATGTACTTTAATGAACAAGATTTAACAAATAATAAAGATAAAAATCAATACCCAATGTTTAGTTATACTTACCACGTGTTCAATAGAGGTTAGAAATTAGATGAGATTCGTAAAAAACAACACTTGTAGACGTACAAGGTCAACCTTTCACTTCAACTAACTAACAGCGACTGGCCGTAGTTATCATGTATTTCGCCACAGATTCGATGTACTTGGCAGCGTATTGGTATACATAGGAAGTTGGAAGGGGGGGTGTCGGTATTACCCATGGTGTCGGAATTGTACCATCTTCCCCTACTCACATGTAAGATAATTAAAGTATCTATGTATTTCTATATAGTTTTTAGTCACCTGGTATATGTTATTTACAATTATGAAAAGTTCTCATGTATAATCACTAATAATTATTTGTTGTTAGAAATCAGAATCAATACTCTTCATAAATATTTTCCTATTTAGAATAAATAAGTTTCGCTAGTTTATTCGCCTAATACTTCGTATCTATGGAATAATAATAATTTATTTCTCTTATTTCTTTGTTCGATAAGCTATCCGTATTTGCTATTTTAATATTAATATTTGAGTCCAATCTCTTGTACTCAAATCCATCCAGAAACATCGTTAAATAATTGTAGATAACAGAACTTATAAATTCATAGTTTTAAGAAATAACAGGCAGAGTGTAATTTTCATCCTCTAATATAATAAATTTATACATGTCAATATATTCTGTTTAATTCCAAAACAAAGAGTTAGTCCGGAGAAGAAATAAACGCATAGTATTCCATAACAATACCTTTGATCAAGTTTGACTGATATGAAAACTAGTTAACATCGGGCCCACTTTATGAAGTATAAAAATTACTAAATCCTAGTTAAGAGACAGAGTTGTTAAATACACGGTGTTAAATCTCCACCTCTTTCACTGCTCAAGCAGAAGCCCCTCAAGGTCCCATTGTAACTGCTTTGTTGTAATATAAAACAGTGACTTTTCGAACACAAACATACCAGATACCCAAATAGGTATCTTTACAGTTGACACAGCACATCATAAATGGGTAGGTACAACCAAAAAGTACAGTCCCATGAGATCATTAATCAGAGCACAAAATCTATTAAATATGGTGGTATAATAGTGTATGTAATAAGTGCTGAATTACACTTAATGAGAATGCAATATATCCTTAAGTAAAATGTTCAGAAAACAGCAGCTTCCAAACAGGTTCCGATCCAATTTTCCCTTTTGATATTTGTCATAGCCCTGCAGTAATGAAGATACATACATTATTAATTTATTCTACCTCAATTTAGGCAACCTTTTTTGCAGATCTATTACATAATAATTTAAACTGTCTCTTTTTGTTAATTTTATTTTTGTAGAAAACAATCGCCAGTTTTAATTTGGTATTTTGATTCAACGAAGAAATTAAAATGACAAAAAGATAAGACATTCTGTCGTTTTTTCATAATGTGACAATTACAGAACACGTCTAAAAAGGTGACAACCTTGTTTGGAACTTGGAAACGACAGATGACAGTAGTAAATACAAAGTGACACGTGTGGGTGGGGATGACACAATATTAGGATTACGATCCTCTGGCGCTGTTGTGGTTGTGGTGTTTATTTTCATGTTTGTGTTTATTACTCTTAAATTTTTAAGTCAAGCAATATTTATAGGGTCTAACGAAGCACTTTTATTGAAAGTTCAAGTTCCAAATTAGCTGTGTATAAGTCATATAACTTCCAACGTTTTGAGCAACAAACCTAAGTGGTGCTACCAATAATTGAGAGAATGGTTCGTAAACGATGTAAGTACCAAAAATTTGCTGGAATTTGAATGAAACTGGATTGATATTAATTTATATTTAGGTAACAACCGAAAGAAAAATTCATGAATAAATTGAGTGATGGATTTGGCTTTAAAAAAGGAAAATGTGACAACCTTACTTATTGATACTGATTCCAAAACACTTGCTGCTGGTGTCATTCCTGAAAAACCAGATGATGGACCTGAATGTTGCAAAATAGATATAAGTAAGTCCATATTATTAAATTTGAATTCTATTCTACAATTTTAAACTTGTTCCAATATAAGTTAAAGCCCTATAAATAATTAACAATCTTAAAAGAGCAGATATATCAAATTGTACTAATCCTTCATTCAAAATTTTCAATACAACTATTATATAATCATAAAAAACCTAAATTAACTTCTAAATATTTATATCTTTAAGATTGCAATAGAATTAGTGAACTTGAAAAAATAAAATATATTAATTTTTCACTTAATTAAAATATTTCTCATGGTTTAACAATTTTGAAAATGTTTACCCCATAGACAAGCACATATTCCTTTTTATTTTTGTTAAACAACCCCAAATTTTTTGACTTTAATTGTATAGGTATTTTCATATGACATAAACAGCCAGTTTATTTTAAATGCAGTAACAGTTAAATACAGTTAAGATTATGTTTAAACTTCAAAAATGAACTATTAGTTTTTCTGTCTATCTTTTCTAAAACAATAATAAAAAGTATTCAGGTTTGTTAAAACATCTAACTACTACAAAATCTACTTTACATATTTTTAATCAACATTCTCCTCTATTTTTATTACCTATTGTACCATAAATTGAGAATTTGATAGCCCAGTCAAAATGGTATTTTATGGAAAAAATAGTGCATTAAATTATGAGATGGTGCAGAAAAACTGGTTTTTGTCTTGTTTGTACAAATCTTATTTTGAACACAATCTGGATAAGTACTTTTAAAATAATGCCAACAAAAAGGCATACTAAAAAAATGTTTGCATTCTTGCTAATGTGTAATTTATTTTTTCCATAATGTGACTGGATTGTAACAGACCAACTACAAATTTAGATTTATGACTTTCTTATCTGTGCATAAATTATGAACTAGCCCTTCAAGTTTTGCCAATAAAAAACTACTAAAAAAATATAGCTATACATTTTGTTTACAAACAATCAATAAGCAAAGTGATTGTTTAAAGAGAAAATAAATTATTTTTATGGTTAGTTAACAGTTAATAAACAAGTAGTTCCAGTGCTTATTTTTATCATCTATTGCACAACTGTATCATATTACAAAAGGTTACTGCAGCATTTTTGTGTTTAATGTTTGAAGAGTGGGAGAAAAGATATTTATTACCTACTTTAAAATATAATATTTTTGATTTTTGTTAGCTTACTAGCTGACTCTACAATAAGTCAAAAATGAATAGAATCTTGCCTGTTTCTGGGAAGCTGATATATGGCATCAATTTGACTTGGTGCAACACAATCCAGGGCCTTCACCCTTAAACTTAAATTCCTTGATATGTGGACACACAATTTTCATTTGTCCAATAGCAATGATTTGCTTTAAACTGTAATCCATTGCCACTTTACAATTTAAAACCACAATTTAATGCTGCTTGATAGGGATTAAATGTGACATTCCTACATTTTTATTTCAATCTCAGTTATTCTGTTCACCTTCATTTTACTCTTATGGCCAAACAAGATTACTACTCCAGCAATAATAACAAAATTAAAATTGACTCTTAAGGGACCATTCAAGTATGTATTAAGTAAGCAGATTTATTACAATTGTTTATCCCCCCATATATCCATTTTTCTTTTAATGGATTCTATTTTTTAATGAATTATAAGTAGCAGTTATAATTCTAGAAATAAGAAAGTAGATTTAGGATAGAGGACTTTAATGCACATAATATTGAATTATATAAACTTTCATTATCGTCATCCAGTCTTCATTTATCACCTCCACTGCCGGACATATGCTCCTTTAAACTCCTGCATTCTTTACGATTTTGTGCTCTTTGTTGAAAATTCTTGGTTATATGCTTGATGTTGTCAGCCCAACATGTAGGTGGTCTTCCTCTACTACATTTGACTGTTCTTGGCCTCTAATTTATAATTTTGGTCGTCCATCGTGAGTCCTGCATTCTCACAACATAGCATGCCCAGTTCCATTTCAGTTCCGCTATGGGCTTCACAACATCGGCAATAGCCATCCTTCTTTGCAGATCTTCGTTTCCTATTTGGCCTTGCAATGTCATTCCCAGCATAGACCATTCTGTTTGTCTGTGTGCCCTCTCTGAATTTTGAAGCTGTAGTCTTGCTTAGAGTAATAGTTTCCGTCCCATAGGTCATGACCGGTAATATGCATTGGTCAAATACTTTCCTTTTGAGGCTAATGGGTATGTTGGCCCTAAGTGTGTTGTAGTTTTCCAAAGGCTGCCCACGCTAAAGTAATTCATCTTTGGATTTTGCATGTTTGGTTATCCCTGCTGATTCTTATTTCATGATCCAAATACGTATATATTTCTCCACCAGTGGTACCACTTTGTCTTGAATAGTTAAATGGTTATTGGGGACCATATTTGTCATAAACTTAGTTTTCGTCATGTTCATTCTAAGGCCCACTTTTGAACATGCGAAGTCCATTTTATTTAACATATCTGTGGCTTTTCCTAAATTATCTATGATAAGGACAATGTCATCTGCAAAACGGAGATGGTTAAGCCTTTCGCCGTCTATTGAGTATGCCATCTTAAAGGCATACTCTAATGTTGTTATGAATAATTTCGTTGACAATATACCTCTTTGCCCTATTCGTTGGGTTTAATCGTGTATCTTAACAGTCATAGTGGCATTTTTGTAAATATTGTAAAGAAGTTTACTATACCTATAGTCAATGCTGCTGTCATTCATTGCTTCTATAAGGCTGTCTATTTCGATTGTGTCGCACACTTTATGAAAATCTATGAAAGTGAGGACAAGAGGTTTGTTGTATTCTTTATATGTTATAGCATTATTCCATTCTTTGGGCACCTCTCTTTGCTGCAAACATAAATTAAACAGTTTTCTTAATTTATTTAATAGCATATCTTCTCCAATAAACAAACTTTATTGACACAGTTGAATAATACACATCAGTTCATTAGCACAACGAGCAACTCTTATAGGCCTAACTAACATATCAGTGTGTGGGGGTAACCTTTTTTACGGATCTTCTCGATGCGACAATTTAGTGATTTGACAGAAGCATGACAAAGACCACATGTTTTATATATGTTCAACTTAATAACTTCAATTTTACCGTCTTACAAAAATAATTGTATGGCATTTGCAGGAAATTGAGTAAAGCATTTAAATTTAGATTTAGAAATTTTAGATAAAATTTGTGTATAATATCCAGTACCAAAAATGAAGTATTTTTGAAATATTTCTAGTCCACATTGAATAACCATATTTATCTCCATTAGTAAAGAGAGTAGTGATGTGAAATTGTAAACAAATAACAACAAGCGCTTCCCCGTTAACTGTCTGTGTTCAACTCATTGATATTTCATACAGGTTGTTTTAAACTTAGCCGTCAACATGCACAATTTAAATAATTTATAAGTTGCTTTTTAAAATAGAACACCCTGTATTTTATTACATTTTTCGCTGTATTTTTTGAGCTAATTCGTTTGATATCCCCTATACCTGAATCCAAGCACTTTTGGGATATTTCATTATCCAAGTTATATCCTATACCAAAATTGAAGTATTTTCGAGATATTTCAATTTTCTCAAAATTTTACAAAAATCCTAGTCTACATTAAACAACCATATCTCCATTAGTAACTAGGTTAGTGACGAGAAATTGTAAACAACTAACAACAAGCGCTTGCACCGTTAACTACCTATGTTCAACAGTGGGGCACCCAGGGGGGGTTTGGGGGTTAACCCCCCCGGACCCTATTCCGACACTGTTATTTAAAAATGTTAAGGACTTAAAATGGTGGAGGTAGCATAAAAAAATTCGGTGTCCAACCAAAACCCCCTCCCCCTCAGAGGAAAATTCTAGGTGCGCTACTGATGTTCAACTCATTGATATTTCATACAGGTTGTTTTAAACTTAGCAGCCAACATGCACAATTTAAATCATTTATAAGTTGCTTGTTAAAATAGAACACCCTGTATTGTATTATATTTTCCGCTGTATTTTTAAGCTAATTCGTTTGGTATTCCCTATACCTAAATCCAACCAGATGACACGTTCCTTTACACCAAACTACCTTGCTATCAAAGATGATAACGGAACTCTACTCACTTCTAAAAAAGATATTTTAGACAGATGGAAAGAATACTGTGGACGACTGATGATGGAGGAAAGCACAGACGCCCCATCACAACACGAAGATGCCAGTTTTGCGACGGAACCTGACGTACTCAAAAGTGAAGTTGAAGCAGCAATTATGAGGCAAAAAAGTCAGAAAGCGGCCGATCTAGATACCATACCTATTGAAATGATTTGGGCCCTAGATGACGTTGGAGTGGATAATAATACATCAAATTTGTCAAAGAGTGTGGGAGACAGGTAAATGGCCTGAGGACTGGACACAGTCACTATATATTCCCATACATAAAAAGGGAGCGAAAGATTTATGTAGCAACTATCGCACAATTGCTCTAATTGCGCATTGCAGTAAGATACACTTACACATAATTCTCGAGAGGATAAAGCCCTTGTTACTACCTAACATTGCGGAGGAACAAGCAGGTTTCGTCCCCGGACGTGGTACTAAAGAACAAATTTTAAACGTACGGCATATTGTAGAAAAATCCAGAGAATTCAATATCACAACATATTTGTGCTTCATAGATTATAGTAAAGCTTTCGATTTTGTCAACTGGAGTAAAATGTGGCAGGTTTTGTCTGAAATGGGAGTCCCCAATCATCTGATACTGCTAATTAAAAGCCTGTACAATAACAATTATGCCAGAGTTAGAATAAATGGGAAACTAACCGATAGTTTCAGGGTAACAAAAGGCGTGAGACAAGGCTGCATACTAAGCCCAATTCTATTTAACATCTATGGTGAATGGATAATGCGGAAAGCTACTGAGGACTGGAACGGTGGCATCACCATTGGCGGGAAGAAGATTTGCAATCCTCGCTAGTTCTGAAGCTGAATTGATTCACCTGCTACAACGGATAGAAGACGTAAGCTTAACGATGAG